GACCTTGATGCACGTCATTTTTTTTTTTGGATCGGGTTCGAAATGGCCGACTGGCGGCCATTTGTTTAAAGAATTCAGTTCTGGATCCGTATCTGAGACATGCTTGGATTGATCGAGTTCAAACTTCACACACACAAGGTACATCATGTCACAAATATGTATGTGCATTTGTTTCATGATCTCATTAACGATAGCCAAATGGCGACCGCTTTAAGGCCGAAAATGCATTGAAATCGCACATTTTCACCATTCCGGACCCGGATCTCAGTTATGCATGGACGGACTTCATTCAAATTTGGTACATACATTAAACATAATAGGACCTTGATGCACGTCTTTTTTTTTTTCGGATCAAGTTCGAAATGGCCGACTGGCGGCCATTTTGTTAAAGAATTCAGTTCTGGATCCGTATCCAAGAAATGTCTGGATTGATCAAGTTCAAACTTCACACACACACATGGTACATCATTTCACAAATAGATATGTGCATTTGTTTCATGATCTGCTTAACAATAGCGGAATGATGGCCATTTTAAGGCCGAAAATGCATCAAAATCGCGTATTTTCACAATTCCAGAACCGGATCTCAGTCATGCATGGATGGATTTTGTTCAGATTTAGCACAATGTGTTGTACATATGCAGGTGCATTTCGGTCATGATCTGCTTTGAATGTATATGTCACTCAAATATGAACGGAACGGGGACGTGTCATTGACAATGACTTGTTATTTCACACAACTGTCAAAATTAAATATAATGATATCTAATGTCGCTGATTTCCACAATAATGTTTAATATTTTTTTAATTTCAGGTGAACTATCTTCCTTTCAACGAGGAAGAAGATCTTGCACCGGAAACATCATACTTGAAAGAAAGACTAATCAGAATAAATGAAAAAGGAGTTCTGACAATCAATTCTCAGCCTAGTGTATGTGCTAAACCATCCACTGATCCTGTGGTCGGTTGGGGTGATCCTGGTGGTTATGTCTTCCAGAAAGCTTATATTGAGTTTTTTACATCAAGGGAAAATGTGAAAGCCTTGTTGGAAATCTTGCCTGATTATCTTCCAAGAGTCAACTATCACATTATAAATGCATCAGTAAGTGTTCAATTGTCGTGTCAATTCTCAGTAATGTCTACTTTGCATTAAGTTTTTCATGAAACCTTCCTGCAGTAAACTTTGTGTTAATTCTGTGTTTGATTGAAGTCTATGAATGGAAATTTCTAGTTTTCTTTCTATGTGTCCTTCTTTAGATCATCCACAAGAGTGTTCTCAGACATGCCCTGAGCTATCATTCACATGCTACATATAATACACATTTTCCATACTCTCTAGGCAGACAGGCAAACGGACAGAACCCAAATAAACCCCCGCGTTTGGACAGACATTTTCCATTCCATTTTGCCAGCTGTAAATCTCAAATGACCCACCCCCTATCAAATAAAAAAAAGTGGGTGACCCCCCCCCCCCCCACATTATATTTTAAAACTTAAAACGTGCTAGACCCCCCCCCCCCCCAAAAAAAAAGAAAAGAAAAAGAAAAGAAACATTAACAGTTTTGGCTCTGACATGATTACAAAATGTATTATGTGTATTGAAAATATCATGGTTTGCCATAATTTTGACATAATTTTTAGCGTTTGCATTTAATAGTCCTTAGGAGGGGAGGGGAGGGGAAACATAAAGCCAAATAATGACTACAGAAAAGGCTGCAGAAA